CGCAACATTAGGGTAGAACTGCTTTATGGATCCTGTTTACATGTGGGTCGTACATAAATCTACAGGTTTCCATTGTAGCTCGTTTGCGTCGCCGATCTATCAGATGACCATGTACATGACGGCGCTCGGTCTATTCAAGAGCCGATTTTACTGAATGAGGTTATGCAGAATACACTCGGTATTTTGGCCAGAATCTACTGTCATCAAAAGACTTCTGCAGAGAATACAGTGCATCAACTAGATTCACTGGTTGTTTTTGCGGATATGCGAGTCACATCATACTAAAAGCAACAACAACAGCAATGATAGCAAAATAACAGTCTTCACATCTTTTCTTGATCAAGTAATCCTCCAGAAGAAAAGCAATCGACAAGGCGTAGAGACTGAAGGTGTAATAAGCAGAGACTTTGGGAACTTAAAGGAAAATAACTGTCAACCAGCCTGGTCCTAACACAAGGTATTTGTTCGCTCAAGTGACTAGTCACAGCAGCAATAACATGAATAGTAAAAAAAACGAAAAGGGTCTGATATTTTTTATACCAGCGGAAGTCCTTGTTGTTTCGGTCGCGGCCTATAAATACCTGAAGCATAATATGGTTAAATGTGTACTCATTTTAATATTGCTATATATAAAAATGGCCGCAGCTGATGTGGACACTTTGGTCTTCCGCTGCCATTTCTCCCTTTTGCCAGCAGCCATACACCATCCAATCAGGGACACATAATGCAATACAAACGACGCTGTAAGGACATTGCGATCGAATGCTCCTTCCTCCTTCCCTCCTTCGTTCTGTACCTCCCGTTTCATTCAACTACCCGAATCGATTCGTCTGAACTCAGCTATCTCTCGCTCGTACCTCACTTTTATTTTTATTCGCTGCCTGGACAGATCTATAACCGTCTGGCTCACTCTTTGGGCTATTACCGCGCTATAAAGCAGTCCGTAGTAATGGCATACGTTTATATGACCTTAACTACAACCACTAGCGTTGCATCTGCTTCATTCTGTTTCTATCCATGTTAGATAGCCGTCTGTCCTTGCTGCAGGGAACTCGTGGCTCGACTTCCGTCCATACTGCTGCTGTTGCCATTCACTGCCGCCGCTAGTAGTGGTTGTCTTGGGCATGAACACCGCCATTTACCTTCCACTTACGCTAGTCAGTTGTCAGCTTCTCGACAAACTTGTCCGTCGGTCAACGCGGGACCGTATCGGTAGGCCAAAGAACAGCCACGTAAGTGATCAATGGGCTCGGCTTACAGCTGCCGTTGCTGACGTACCGTTGGGTCAACGAAGAAGCGGTATGGCCATATACACTGCCCAACCGTATTTTCACGCCATGCCCACCCATCCATTGGTCATGTGGTCCCCCTATACCACTTTTACTGCAGAGCTTAAGGCAGCAGGCGAGCCAAAGACCGGACACAGCACGCGTATACGGCCAAGAACGAGCGAACGAACGAGGGGATTTTGCTGGTTAAACCCAATGCCCTTGGAAGCCAGAACGCAGGACAACCGAACGAAAGTCTGGTGCGTAAGACTGAATAGGCCTGCGGATAACCAGAATTCACGAATAGTCTGCTACGATATCGTAAGACTGGAACGGAGGGATAGAAAGGCTTGGTTTGGTTGAACCGAAAGACTGGGATAGCTTATACGAGAAAAAAAACTGATCCCTTAATATCTGCAGAAGCCCCGTTCGTCCGCAGAGGCCTTTGCAAGCCAGGTCGCTTATGAGTCGAAAGCTGTACAGAGGTACACGAACAACCTAGACGCAAACCATCCGTCTAATCCGAGTGGAAAAGAAATTCCAAGGAAAAACTCGAGGAAAATTAGTTAGAGAGAATAGTATCTGAAATAGCCCAAAAACGGTGCTTAGATACACTGGAAGAGCACACAATAGATCGTGACATTAAGGAAATGATACCGTCTAGGTTTTACCATAGTCTTCTATCGAATCCCACCTGAAAGCTGTGTGTCGCCAGAGTGCGGCCGGACTTCAAACAGCTGTTGAATTGCAGCCTGCGGACAGCTGGGGGGTTGGCGGAGCGCTCTTAAAAAATACGCCCCACTGTAAATCTTACGCCGCCCTCAGTGTGTACACCGTTTTTTATTACCAACGTTGATCCTGACGGGTTACGCGGCGCACTTTGCGTAAGCCAAGTCTGACGTCGTCCTGTTTAGAATTTAACATCTGTCATTCTTTAATGGATATATAACGGTCGTTAAGAAACGCCGACGGGTGAGAACATTTTTGTACGCATTTTGCAATAATAGCTGTACATGAAAATGATTACGAAGTACATTTGCTACATAAGCACATATTATGTATATTTATACACATGTGTAAATCCTTAAATAGTAACGGACGTGCTATTAGATGGCAGAGCATCTGTTCTGATATAAGTGATATAAAGCGTACCCTAAAAAATAATGAGCAGGCTGTGAGAACGAGATGACAGTTTGGCTAAAAGCTACTATGATAGCAATGCGACTTAGTCCACAACAATATGCGGACAGCCAACTAGACGCTTCTCTTTAAAAAGACATCAATCATTATACTACTATCGTACTAGATACGTGTCGTGCTATCATCGTCCTCATGCATCTGTGCATTGTGCTATACCGCAAACATGATTATCGAACGAATAGGACCAAAGTCGGCCAGTCCTCCTGACATTCATGAAAGGAAGATACAACTCGGCCAATGAGCTATGTAGCCGAGTGCCATTAGCACTATTAATAAGATAATTGAGATTAGGTACTCTTTACCAACATCAGATGGCTTTCAGTACTTTTCTGAAAAAAGTACTTACCCGTGCAAACTTGTCTTATTTCTAAATATCTTTAGCCAATTACCATACCTTTTGGCGCTGTTAAGGGCTGCCACTAGTCCATTTTCAATGTTTTAAACACAGTCAGTTACTGCTCCGGTAATTCGAGCCCCGACCATGATAAAGCCTGATCTCAGTAGATCATTGAGTTGTCCTCCGACGTATAGTCACAATGAAGTGACTGTAGCACATTCTCCTTCACGAAATAGAAATAGGTAGCAGACGCAATATCAACAACGACGCTACCTATGCTATCGCTGGTTCAGCCACTCCACCCTATTGTTATTGCTACGTCAAGCAAAGACTTTCTGTTAGCCCTAGAGGAGAACTGGAGGGTGGCGGTGAAGGCAGACAAGGAGCGGGTGCTCGGAATATATAAACATAGTGCTCTGTTAAAAAATCCACAAAGAGTGCAAACGACCGACGAAAAAATATCATAAAGATAAACTATTCAGCTCTGAGGCGATCCAGGGTAGACTACTCGAGCACCGCGCGGGCTTAGCAGCAGCGGCCGATTGAGTGAGGTTGAGATGATAGTAGTAATTTTCAGTGATGTCTATAGTCTGCGGCCATCATCTAATCTCTGGAGGGCCATCACCAAACTAGCAAGCGACTCTGTTAGTAAAATTTGCTTTGCTTGTCGTGCTAATAGTCCATTAGTACGGCGGCAGTAGTGATACAATCCAGTAGAGTTCCATTAGAGTTTACTATCAGGTTTAGAACGGTATAAAGTATAACCATTATATACGATAGATACTGATACGGGACGGAATGGTCTACCTTGGAGAGCGAGAGGAACGAAGGTCTGCACGGTAAATGGGTAAATTCCAACCAGACGATCGCTGTTTTTTTTACAGTCCATCGATTAAATGGACTAGGTTGGCCAACACGAAATGTTTGTCACTAAACTGAGACGAGTATATAGGCGGTTACAGAGCGGCAAGGCTCGGTCCATTTTTACCACTGGCGGAGTCTGGCATAGGCCATTTGAACGGTCGATTCTGATGCCGTCGCTGCTACTGAAGCAGGTTTAAACCAAAACCGTCAGGCACCCTTTCGTTCTGCTGCAGCAGCCGTCGTCTACGAATCGGCCAGACAGGACAGAAACAGCAGTAGGAGTAGACGGGAGACAATAGCAATGCTAAACGATAACAAAAAGTCGTAGTCATCCTTTCTGCTAGTGTCGTGCTGTATCGTGTCGCAAAATCGGAGCTATTCCCGAGAGGCAAAGGTTTCTCAAATTCTTCCGCTCATTCGGACACTCTCGAAGCTTTTCGTATGGGGAAAAGGGCGGGTGCAGGGGATTTGGAAAACAGCCAGTAAAGCATGCTCGGGCTTCTCTGCGGTGTCCATTGCGTAAAATTTCAAGAAGCCGGCTGCGATACGTAGAACCGTTTCACCTGTCTGCCTTCGTCTTGTTCCGTTCTGCGCTGATCTTTTCCCAGTGCGTTCCACTTTTTGTCTAACGCCTATACCATTGGCTTTTTCCACGTCTTTCCTTATCCTTAGGGAAAACAGAGAAATAAGAACTGAAACCTTCACGCATGCGCACTGCCTACGGTGCTGCATACTAGATGGTAAGGTTCCGTAAAAGGGCGAAGACATATCGATTTTAACGATGACTATACATAGCAGTGCCATGCTTCGTATGCTTACATCATACTACTTCAGCAATTTGAGACAACGCCGTCGATCACGTTTTTATCGACATATCAATAGTGAACGTAAGCATCATCGCGATAAATGCCACCATCCATAAGCCTTCGGCCTCGCTTTAATCGCAGCTAGATATTCGATAGACCTCTGGATATCTAATCAATGTAATTGAACTGTAGCATTAAAACCGTGTTGCGAGAATCGATGTAATCGCATCAATAAACGTCTGCCCTCCTGTCCCATGCCCTCCTGTCCCATAGGATGCTAATTTCCAATTATACATAATGATACTGAGGACATGCCTTACGCGCTTCTACGACACGCATCGGTGGCAGCTATGAGATTTGGATAAAATGAGTGACTCGATTTATTACGATTTTAACAAACAGTTTTTGCCAAAACGAAAAAAGTGCACACAGCTAACATGTAACCTCACCTGAAGCGTACTTCTTAATTCATGTTTGGGGATCAGCTGTGTTGAGGAAACGCTATAACGGCAAGAGGTTACTCACCTGATCATAGTCATAGTGAATAGGTTTGACACAAACGGCCATGCGTCCTTTGCTAGAAGCAGCCCATTGTATACGCGATGAACCCCGAGCAGTGGCGCTATTTGACAAAGATCCAACTGCCTCTGGCTCTCCTCCGGATGCCTTAGTTTGTCCTGCCTGAGCGGGAACTTGGTTTGGATCATGTTCGTTGTCATGCACGAGGATGATATTGGACGGGAACAAACTAACCGGCTCGCGCACCCTTTGCAGTGATATCTGTATAATAGCAAAAAGGACAGCATTAAATACAACCAGAAAGATAACAGATAACGACCTTAGCTGGTGTGAGTGAAAAACATGTCCTCTCCAATGATCTTTCATTTATACTTTGCCCGTACGTGGTTATTTGACCCTTGAGTTTTGGATTGCAAGTTATTTTCCATCTTAAAAGCCACTAACATCTACGTTTATTTATAATGTAGTATCACTGTATCAGACCAAGGCACTTTTTCTAGCCAGGCGTTATCGTAACGGGGACGCACGCGCTGCTTGTTACACTTCGTTATTCAGTCTTTGTTAGCTGATAACGGTGACGGAATATGTGTTTATTGCGAATTAAATTGGTCTCGACGGCGGTATAATTCATGCTAGGAGCATTAAAAGCTTCTGCCTCTTCGAAACATGTAGCAAATTGAAGACGCAGATTTAAAGATACTACGAGACAGATCCTATGAAATTACGTCAACAACGACTCTCTACTCGCCACAACATGAAGGACCTTTTCAATTCTATATGGGCTGTATTGGCAAATAATGCACCTCATATTAGCGAAACATTGGCGGCGTCTTGACGAAATGACAGTGAGGTCGAGACTTCAAACGAGATTGACGACACGCGACGTGCCGTTAATTTCGTTTGTATCTTACATGAAAATTAAGCGTTATAGTAGCGAAATTACCTACTTCAAAACTTAACGGCTATTCTTTAAAACGGAGTATAGTGGAAATCTGAATGGATGACGTTACGATAAGACCCATCAATGCGGCTTAACGGTAAATACGTTAGCGAGCGTTACGGTACAAAAGAAAACGTCTCGCAAATATAATAAGCACCCAAATAAAGCGACTATAAAATATACGCATTATCTAATGAAAGTAATACAGAAGCTAGCTCAGTTAGCTGGTATCGAATTCGATTGACTAGTGAAGCTTGCTTATACAGGTAAAGCGAAATTACGCAGTTGAAAGAAGCTACCTACAACGATAATTTTTTAAATAGCTGTTGAAAACTAGATCATCACTTATTTATATTTAGTGAAACATGTCACTTAACTTACAATGTTCATCGGCAAAGCTCTAGCCCATAAGACAGAGAGCAAAGAGATGCAGGCAAATAATAGCTTCAAGTTCTACGTTCGTCAAAATTTCGATTGGCCATCACAACCTCCTCGTATGCTGTGTTCCGATATGCTAACAGGGTGCCATTGCTCAACAGCTGACATGATAGTAAGTCAATCGCACGACATCGCGCCCAAGTACGATCTACTCCGTGGCAGACTTTCACTACACGTATTGTGAAAAGATCATTTTGAAACAAACGGTAGAACCTTTCGCTGACCAGTACCTGATTAAGCAGCTCACTCAAGCTGTCAACGTAATACGCAAGCAGTTAGGGAAGATTAAGGCTTCTAAGTAAAATTTATTTTCGCATTACGTGCACTATGCCATACGTTATATTGAAGAAATTTGCGCCACTAATAGATACGACAATAATTAATGGCGCACTATCGGATGGATCCAAATAAAAACCTATTTGTTAGCGGCCGGTCTGGCGGGCTCTGTGTTGATTATATCAGTTAACATTGTAGCTAATTCAACAGCCATGGCCGCTCAAGAATATAAATAATGCCGACTCGCCTAGCGAAAAACATTGATATTGACTTACATTACATCGAAAAACATTTTAGCCGCTGCTATATGTAGCGGGTCTTTTCGATAGATAATTCCCGAACGTCCCTGATTTTCTCGGCCGATGTTAAAGAGCAGCCGATTAATTACCCTTACTAAGTATAATAAATTTACAATGATCGCATGTAATAGACATAGGCTAGTCACATAGAGATATTCTAGATTAAAACGAGAACTAAAACCACAACGATCGGTTTTCCCATAAAAACAACAAACGGATGCTATAGAAACCAAGGCTGGTATTAGAGCTAAAGTAAATGTCTACATGTCTCCAATCCATCGTAAAGGTCGAAAGTCAACTTGACAATTATCCATTATCTTCGCGCTGTCTACTATTCTTTCTTCTTACAGCCGAATAGCTGTCCTTTTATAGTGGTTTCTTTACTCTATATATATATATACATATATATATATATATATATACATATATATATATATATACATATATATATACATATATACATATATATATATATACATATATATATACATATATATATATACATATATATATATATATATATATACATATATATATACATGTATAATGTAAGCCAAAACCAGTACATGTGCAGCAAATGAAGAGTCCTTCATATCCACTAAAGTTGCAGGAGATATTGGAACGACTGACTGACTGCGTGACACAAGAGCACCTTAATACCATCCTGAAAATTTACAAAACATCATTACATTGGAGTACCATTGAAGTCCACCCAACCTTATTGTATGCTATTTTTTGCATCGGGAATGTGCCCTGAACCTAATCATTATAACTACTTTAATTTAAATGTGGACATAGATTGAGACGATTAATCGCCGATGACGAATGGGTTTAGGTTTGGGGCTTAGGAAACATCGTGTTTAATGAATAAGATAAAATAAATGTAAATCCTTCGACGTCGTTCCTTGAAGCAACTTCGAAAACCTTAAATCGCATCAAGCGAGCTCCACTAGAAAAATCCAGCGTTTCTCTCTAGGCAGAATGCGCTGACATAAGCTATGGTTAGGAAACTTATGGAATAATTCCAACAGTTTCCATATGCACAAAAGTGTCAAAAATTCTAAATAAATTCTAAAAAAAATAGTCAAAACTAGTTCATTGCCGAAAGTCTTGAATAACTGGGCGGTTTATTCGGACGCACGTTTATCGTACCGTATCGCTGCAACAATGATAAAACACCGTGAAGGCTTTGAATCCTGTGCGTCCGTATAACGAAAATTGCAGATATGCTGTTCATTTTAAAATCAACACTGGATCCGTCTTACGTCGAAGTCCCGTTGTTGTCTATATTGTTTTCTTCAATTAATGCAATATATGATTCTTGCATTTTTTCAGATATCCTAATTACCCTGCGCATACAAAATTTTCGAAAAATGTGTACTCAACAATTTTCAGGAACAGACGAATACACGAGTAAAATACTTCTCTCTTTTTTCGACGCGTGATGATGAACTCTTTTTGAAGTATATTTTCTTGTTATGTAGAAGCATGTCCTTGTATTACAGTTATATTTGGTAGTTTCGCTAATTGCCTAAGTAGCTATACGCTTATGGCATATAATTAATCATTGCTCTCAATGAAGCACATGACAACGCATGCGTTGTAAGTATGAGCCTCATGTAAACAACGGCACAACTTAATCATCACTCGCGTGGTCCCTAGGTAGTGGAAGTGCCTCGACGCGCTACTCCGCCGGTTAATAACAGCGACAAAAATTAGTAATTGCGATTGTTATTTCCGTTTGTACGAAACGACAACTACGTTCGGACGACCTATTTAACTTATGCCACTTAGGCAGTCGGCATACAGATACACAAACACTGCACTCTGATGGTCAACTTTCTGTTAAAAGCGGCCAGTAGTCGTACAGAATCCTCCCTCTTGCGACCTCCCATCAGGCGGTTGCTGGTAGGACTGAATCTAACGCACGATCTTTAGCCAGTGGTCGACGTTCCACAGAGCTTCTCTCTTGTCGCTTCGGCATCGGTTTAGAGGGGCGGAACTAATAATATGGAACGGAGTGCCCGGTTGCAGCATAACAGACGACAGCCAAACTGAACGATATAGAGAGAGGAAGCAGTGAGGTGCGTATGACGAGAGAAATTGAACACACCAAAGACAATAGCATTAACAACGACTGCAAGAGCAGCAACAGCAGCAGCAGCAGCATTAACGGCAAAAATACGCATTACCGCTATCGAGGTCGCGGTTACGATTGGCACGACCCGATACTACACTGGAAAAGCACAGCACTGACAACGACAGCTGAAATGACAAAAAGCAAAAACCCAACAAAAGGATATGGGTATATAAGAGATGTGGTAAGATGATATTGGTTGAAGGTCAAAAAACAGATCGGAGAATATAGTTCGGATGAGCGCTGTTCGACCAGAACGCCCAGGTCACTGAACAGCGTGAGCGTCATCGTAAGAGCGACGAGTTTAACAACCCGAAGGAAGGCGGAGTTGTCATCGTCACTGCTAGCAGCGTCCTTACGTATGGAGCTTGAATGTACGCGCAGATCTCTTATAGAAAGAAATGCACGCCTGCATTATCCAAGTGTGCCTGCATTATCGCCTGTGTGCCTGTCCGTATTACTGTGCATGTGTCAATATAACATACGGAACAGTTGGCTGCCGCAGTGACCAAGCCAGTGGCAACAACTTCAACCGTCTTTTGACATAGACAATCCTAGGGTCCAACGCGAATTGCATCCACGTGCAGTTTCTGTATGCTTTCAATGTGAGCAGCAGACTTGACTACCTTCAGCACATACACCCTCAATCTCTTGTTGAGTTCTCACAGAAAAAATACGAAATTTTACTTCTTCCATCCTGTCTTTCAGTAAACACGCGAAAGGCCTACTTCATTTTTCCACCATAGTATATCCGCTACTTAGATGTGCGTCCAGGCAAGTACTCAAATATCCAAACATTTGCGTAGACAAGCATAGTAGAATAAATAGACAGACAAGTGGGATAATATCACCTAGAGCAATAATGATTTTCTGTGGTTCCGCTAAGCTTCCTGTGTAAGGCTCAAAGATAGCAAGCGACCTTATCCGTTGTGCCTGTATTGTGATCATCTCTTTTCTTTTTTACTACCCCTCTTATTGCCCTGCGTCTGCTGTGGGTGTTTTGTTGTTTTCGTAGTCTGATGTGCCTATGACGTCTGTTGTCATTGATGTTAGCCAAAAATAGGCTATTGTCCTTTGGTGTGCCTTCGTGTCAATAGGTCTGAGATATTATACGAGATCTTCGAGACTCGACTGTCCTTTTTGCTTTATTAACGTATGCGATGTGTCTGATACATCGGTGAATCACTATTGAGGATATATGTTTGGACAAATGTCTGTTACACTCTAGGAAAAGATTAGCCAGAATTTTCCTTATTTTACAGTTTCTATCATCTACATTTTGACTATCTTGCTAATATTGTTGCGTCCAAAGAGAGAGAGACATCCTGCCAGTATTGCGTTAGATTTCGACAATATGGCTCTCAACCAAAATCTCTTACAGAATCTCAAATAAACTAAAGGTATGGCTTATGTTTTCTTATCTATGAAGTAAGTGTGCAACTAGTAGGCAATGGTGAGAGAACATTAATTTGCTAGCACCGTAGCAAACAATATAATTATCTATCCGTAGTAGGGACGGATAGATAATTATATTGTAGGGTAGGTGGGAAAAATACTTTAAATATGGAAGGTACCATGGAATAGGCACTATAAATTGATAACACGTAAACAACAGCACTCTTTAAAGCTCCAGGCGCCATTGTTGTACAATAGCAATACTGCTGCTACATGAAGTGTAGGAGTCGGCTTGAAACTGAATTTGCTTGTGCTAATCACCTTATTACTTAGGTAATTACTAATGAGGACTTACCAATATACATAATATATATGTAATATACATAGTTAATAATGGGTATTTACTAATCTAACTGAGTGATCGTTAGAACATCAACTCGGTCCTAACTATATATTAGGCCTAAAGTGATGGAAAATCAAGTAACCAATATCAATACCCCGCCAATTATTGGTGCTACCCTATATATTAATTCTACACTCATATCCTCTTCGAAAAAGCCATGCTTCTAATTTCATTTTTATCGCCGCGGATTTCGCCTTGGCAATGTAACCGATCGCTCTTTCTAACGATTTTACAATTTTTTTTTTTGTCTTAAACAAGGAACCCTTTAAGGTAGAAAAAAAAACATGTCGAACAAGAGCCAATGCTTTGTTGGCAGACTTGATAATAACGATAACTACAGGATATGACAGTCACTTCAACTTAACTTTGAGCAAAGCAAACGCATTTACAAATTACACTTTTTTTTCATTGATCAGTAATAATGATAGTAGAAGAGTAGTCCGAGCACTCAATAAAAAGGGATCCTATATAAACGTCCTTCTACCAAAGGCATACGGTGAAAAAATTGTTTTCTTTTAGACAGAAAAAAGCTGTTGTTATTGCCGCTACTGTTGCTGCTGCTGTCACCATCAGTAGGATTGGTAACTTCGCTGTTATTCGAATGCGCGCATTTGATCGCAGAGCGCTCCGAATGGAACTAGAATAGGCGTTTCCCTTAGGACTGTCAACCGAACCAAGAGCTGCCACTACCCATCCACAAACAACAGTCTGTGCTTGTAGCCAGTGGCGCGAAGCACACTGGGCTTGTCTGTGTCAGAATATGTATACGGGGTCCTTTGGGGCTAAGTCGGCAGCTTCCCACCAGCGCCGAAACAGTACGGGCGGATTAGTTTGGCTTCCCCGAGTGTTTCCATGGAAAGTACGGTGGTGAGTTGGAAATGCGTTGAAAACATTATGAAAACAAAAGATTCTACTCGTTACTACCCGTGTTGGTAGAATAAAGGTAATGCAATACAGGACTTGGTTAGGGCAGCTCATTTAACTGGTGTTGTTCGGCCTGTCGGTTAACGTAGGACAGGGCAAGCAAAATCCCATTGCATCGTTACCTCTTTCAGGGGAGAAGGGATATTTTCCGGATACGAACGTGAATAAGCGCCTGCTTCTATCTCAGCTCAAGGGGGGATATGAGACGACTGCCCAAACAGAAAGGAGTTAGTGGCGGACGCTCCAAAGCTCAAGCTGGGGTATCTCTTTGTTCGAAAATAGGAATAAAATGACCTGCGTCAATTTCAACTGTCGACAGTCTGTTTACAAGGTTGGTAGATGCGCAACTCAAAGACGATGAGGAAGAAAAAAGGAAACTCAGGACGTGATGCTCGGATTTTGCAGGACGGATGCTTTGTGGCACCACGGCTGCCGGCGGTGACGACGACGTCGTCGATTACAAGCAGCTATATGGAATCCGCTATTCGTTTCTTTGGCAAAGAAGAATAAACCTTAAATAGAACGAGAAAAAAAATGTCGTAGGACGAAGAATATGGCTATCATAAAGCAAATTAGGACCGTACTAAAGGAACGCAGACAATGGCCAGATGAAAACAATGTAGCGGACAGCAAATTTCGGATCTGAGCGTAGAATACGGAGTGAGCGCTTTCGGGGTATCAAGTTGAGAGTACAGCGTAAGATAACGGAACATTTCGAGCTGATATTTGATATGAATAGTTCCTAACTCACAACTTGATTTCAATAAAAAATAATGTTTCGACACGCTAGTTTTAGCGTTGCGTACTTCTCTTCAATTATCTGGCAGTCCGTGATGCTAACTGCCGCTGTTTAATTGATATGTTGCTTGAATTAAAAAAGAACATGTGTTTTGTAATTTAGCTTATGACTGATGTAATGACTCACCGGAATCTCTCAGAAAATATACTCGTCGAAATTAGATTTCTAGAATCCGGTCTTGTGAAGGGTGCTGGAAGGGATCTGGCTATTTCAATGGCCTGTCTACTAGAACCTTGAATCGATCAAGGTTTAGAGAATTTATACAATCATTAATATAGAGTCGACTAGTATAAGATGTACGACGCCGTTAGGGCAGGCAACTTCCAGGAACAATTTATACTCCGAGCGCAATTGCTGTTGTCCTACAAACGAGGTTATTAGAAGTTGTCAACTAACTGATCTCAGTACTAAAGGTCGCATATGCCTGATAAACTACAAAAGCCCCAAGCATAATGTAGATAACATATATCTCTGAAAATAACAGGTATCCCTAAAAATTCTATTCCTGGGAAATTTCATAGTGATGTTGCTAGGTATGAGTCTGTGTGTTATCTAACACGGGTCTGGCCCCGCCTTATTCAACAAATCAACGATATATGTGCCTTTAATCAAATGATTGAATATTACCCGCTTGTTGTTATCCGAAGCGAGCATATACGTGGATGAAATACCGTAGTACAAAAAAAAAAAACTCAAGGACAACGTATTCTATGTAATAATTGGCAAGAAAGAAATATTTCATTGTAGGCCTTGCGAGCAATTTATCGCTTGGCTTACTAGGCGAATAGAAGTTTCGACATGTGGCGGGCCTCATCAGCTGCTTAGCTAAAAGGCACTGTAGATTTGGTGAAATAGAATTATGCCATTTACGGACTCCTGCAGGTTAAGGCTCACGATTTCCATGGCTTTTATTGAATGCTATAAAAGAGCAACGATAGTTTCTTATATTACGGTTTTTATCTTGGTTTCGTATATTAACCCATATTATATGCGTATATTATGTACGTATAAAACATTTAGTATTAAATTAGCTCTAGGTCCTTATAATACCGGCACCAAATGAGACTTATTTTCTTTACGTTTCTTTTTTACAGAGCAAAAGCGATACAAATACGCAGGATATTATTAGCACAGTTTACGACCGTCTGCATCTGGGCTAGTCATTCCCTGGAGGCCTGCTCTGTCAACTTAAATTGATGTTTTCTCCTCGGCTGCTGAAACCACACACATTGACACTTGAGCGTACGTACCTCGGCATTCTCTGCAATTGATAGCCTTCATAACTGTAGCTACTTCTGAATAGGAACAGACTACGGAATACACGCCTTCTGCGCTCTAGGCTTTGGACTTCGGAAACTTTCATAACAAGCCAGCATTTTCCTAACTTGTGTATATATGACGAGGCCAATATGGAAGTGTTTCAGTACATGTTGTACAATTTTTTGAATGCTTGCATGTCCAGCTGCCTTTGATCACAGCTTCTGGCTGGGGTCGCGTGATCCACAACAGCATTGTGTTTCCTTTGATTCAAAGCAGAAAATTATCAGCAAGCGCGTCCACAGAACATCTGTTTGTGTGCCGAATTTGTACACTGTTAGCGCTTAGATCCTTAGTTTGAAAGAGAGTCGGCACACCGTAGCGGATGGAAAAGCTCTATTTCGTACTCACAATGGCCGATTGACAACGGTTCGGCTTGAGCTGTGCATTCCATGATGTCAGGTAGGTAGCTCCACACCTTGTACTTATGTAGCAATAGCGACGAAAGCATCCAAAATTAAATATATTATAGATACGCGTCGAAAACGTTGTATATATACATGTACTTACAGCATGGGGCACGTAATCCCTAGGAAGGCCTGAGTTAAGAGGTATTGGACACAATAAGAAAAACGCCGAATATCTGAGGTTCCAGTTTTCGCGGATGAGTCTGTTCGATGCGAGAACGGTGGCGACAACCGATGTGCGATTTGCTGACCAAAATACGCACCTGGAAAAAAGCGGATGATTAATTCAAGTTAAATACGTTACTAAAACAGAACAGAAACAAACCAATATCTTTCAAACTGTAGTCTATCTGACAGAAGGGCCATCTTCCACAACAAAATTCTGTCCTAATCATCCTAATGTAAAGCCCGGAAAAGTTACACGGAAACCATTACTTCAATGTTTATCGCAGCTCTCGATTAATAGCAAACAAACGATTATTATTTTTTCTAAGGCATACGCTTTGGATGTACAGTATGTTGTGTTACACGTGTGATTATTCAGCCAGGAAACTCCGCTAAGAAATTATCTCAAGTATACAGGTCTCCCGATTACCAATACCTCACGATGCTGTGCTTGGTGTATCATGTTCAGGGTAAAAAATACTAAATGCAGACAGTCCTTGTCAACATGTCATTAATAAGAACATTTTCGTGCTTAATAATGCCTTGCTATTACGTTGAACAATAATACACGAAAGCATATTACATAGTGGGTCGGTTGTCATCAATTTAGCAAAACCAATGGCCAGTTTTCCCAGCCTTTTCTGTTGTTCTATGAATATTTAGAGATCGGTAAACGAACGCTGCAATACGTTTATTAATTGCGGTAAATGTGGAAAATAGAATAAGAAGTTGTGTGCATTGAAACTTGCCCTAATAGAGTTAGGCGCACTGAGGTCAAATGGGTAGTCGAGGCAAGTCGCAGACTGTGCCCACGAGGGCTTCACACAGTTGAACCTAATGCTATGAACTTTTCCATAAGTAATAAATTAATTTTTAAATATCGACATACGTAAGTTAAAGGGCAAAGTTAGCCTCAAATGACTCGGCCAGTGATCATCATTGACTGTTAACTATCAAACGATCACTGTCGATAACTAGACGGCGATAACAGGAAACCGTCATCGAGAAAAATAAGAGCTGTGCTACATTGCGGCTGTATCATCGAAATGTGAATTAATCTGTAATTGGCTAATTAAATAAGTCATTAATCAAATATTATATATTATTGGTAATTTTTAATGCATTACATTTCGAGGGATCAAAAGCGGCTGCATAATCTACGAAAGACGATACAATGGCGTTCTAACATCAATTTCCCGTTGACATTTACCAATTCAATGGGTCCTTACTGCTAGTTTATCGTACTGTTAATAGTTTAGCCTACATTTATGTGTCCTGCGCAGAACAAGTGAAATTGGTAGCTACCATACGATGCGCAATCAGCGTCATTTGGGGCCAATACACCGGAGCTAATCTTTTGCCAAATGTAAAACAGTAAAAAGGTAGAATATTGTGCTGCAAAATATCCAACTCGGGAATCTATATAGACACTACCATAGTACATGGGGTGCCCGTCTTTAGCCCCGCAGTCACAAACTCTTCAACCTTGTGTCTTTCCGGTTACTGAATTTGCTAAAGTTTCTCGTTGAAAGTACTTACTTTTCAGTTGCGAAAACGGGACAATGGAGACGAGGTGATTGATTGCCTCATCGCGATTCATTACGTTTTACGTTAACCCCTGTATGTCTACACTGTTGTTAGATTCAACTATTATGATTCGTAAAATAGGTCTTCGTTGAGCGACTCGTTATGGTTTCTAACACGCCTCGAAGATAGACTCCAGCAGTTCAGATTCAACGTGTTGTAAATCGACAGCGCATTGAATGTACCTTTTGACACAATGAAGGCCTAGTGGTTATCGGCGCATGTGTTAGAATTCGTGATAAAACACTCCATTAAGGGAACAGATTTGACTGAGCATGGAGCTTGTCAGCTTTTTTTACTCTATTCATTTAAATGGGAAATTTTGTGTTAAACTTCTTCGCTCATTTTGTAGAAAAAAACTGGTAAGTAGTGTTAACCCCAAATTGGATAACAAAGTCGTATTTTTCCCGCGCAATTTTCTATATCTACCTGTTAATGTAATGATAACTTCTGGATACTGAGTCTAGAAAACTTTTTGTAAAGACTTTATAAAATTAGTTTTTAGGAACTATTAAGAAACTTCAGTAAGGACCCTGAAAAAATTATCAGTTTTCCTAGAGGATATCAGCCACTCCAAGAAGCAGTTGCAGAGGGTAGCTTGAAAGTAAACAACAGAAGAAAAAGTAAGCCAACCTAGGCTTGCTTTCGAGGACTTGCATGAATTAAAGAATTTTCTTGCTTTACCCTTACAATATCTAATTACAATTTTCTATAACATGCTTTATGTTACTTAATTTCTGTAAAATCGTCTTTAAACATCTCGTCTGCAAAGCATGCAGCCAGACACGTATAGTTGACCAAGACCTTTGGCTCTTGATACTTGCATTGATGCTGCCCCGAAGCCCACGGCTTTGTTGATTCTTCGCAATCGGAGGGTCAGGCGATGATGTGCGGCATTGTCATCGCTCAGCCCCGGCCGTTTCATATACTCGCTGAGTGGTGTTGTCGTGCTAGATCGAAACGCCGTACACATTCAACCAGGCAGTGCGAACAACGATAAAGTGCAACGGACAAGCATAAGCGGAAAAACAGGGGCATACTAGTGCAAGTATATATCGCTCCATGCGTCCAGCTGCTGGCAAAGTGTATCCGTTAATATAAGGAGTATGGAGTGAACGAATAAAAGATATTGGGCAAATCGGCGGCTTGCCAGTAGCTGAAGGGCTGTTGAATTGAACTAAAAAACGTGAACGAATGACTTGGAAACACTAGCGACTAAAAAAGGTCAGGCCGGACAGGTGTAAGAAAAAGGGATGTAAAAATGGAAAACGACTTTGGGTATGAGAAGGTGGTGCCATAGTAGAGCAATGGAGCCACGAACCCGTTCCAGTCAGAAGAAGCCAAGACGGTCCTTTACCCAGGCTGTGTGCCAAAACGGCATGGAAAAGGCAGGATAAAAAGCGGAAGCCACGCAGAGGCAAAAGATTCGGTTTGCGACAATTGGGAAGAGGAAGAAGAGCTGAAGAAAGCACTGGAATGGCAGAAGCATGTTCCCTACATCAGCAAATGCAGACAGGTCCTTGCCACAAAGGAACTCCGCTGTACGAAGCATTTTGCAGGCTATCGCACGTTGGCAAGACGAATAGCAGCAGGGAACTGTTGGTGATGAACGGGTACAGAATAGCCAAATTGAGCGTAGAGAATGGTGGCCAGCAACGTCCAGAGACGTTCGGGAAACTGTGAGAAGAAGGAAATCGGCTACCAGAATTGGTGGTAAATTTGCCAGTTTTTCTACTGTTGTCGCCAATGAGACCGCAACCCGGCGTCATTATTTAGAAAAAAGAGCAAACGGATCCAGTGAAGGATATCTAAGAAGATCTTCATTTCCCTTATCAGGAATGATATTTTAAAAAAAAAGAGACAGGTTAAAACATCGATCGGGCTTTCGTACTGATCAGTTTATGTAACCGAAGCTGTCGGCAAAAGCAATTCGCAGTTAACGACAAAAAAAAACTTGTAACACGTTGAACAATAGCTTATACGATATGCCGTCCTTCTCACGCTCAATCGACTCAGAGCGTTTTTACCTTTAATGCTTTTGCTCGTTTATCAGTGGACGAATAACGATGATAACACATAAGTTCTATTGGGAATTCGAGAAAATCATTCAAGAAAGGCTCATTCAGATAGCGACGAACCCATTCCTTTGCAACCATTTTAGTCATCGAAACCCGTTTAGAACTACAGGCACTCTAATGTGTTCTTTTAACTTATACATCAGTTGCAATTGGACAGGTCTTTTTATTATTTTGTAGTGATTTTCAAGCCTTCGTTATCTTTACATATGGCAACATCAAACAAACGTTTATAATGCATGCTGCGAACCACCCTTTGTAGCGTATGTAATGACTTATTATAAAATCTGTGACATTTTTAGCTTTCCAGGCGTGAGGAAGGCCATTAGTTACTTCCACATAGTTATCTAATCTATTAGTGTTTGCGGAGACCCTCACTTCGTGGCCAAAAACTCTGTTAGAAGCTTTTCAGTTTTAGCTCACGGTCAGCTCAGTTAATGCGTTCAGCAAAGATGGCCTGTTACCTAATTAAGCAGTTAACCTTGTTCTAACAGTACTGCTTAACCCGTCTGATTTGGCCTATTTTGCCAAATAGATATGAAACACAAGGACCAAACTCCTTCCTACTTAGTACACTTAGATGCCGTAGTCTTGGTTTGCGTCGACAGTAATAAAATGGCCATTGATTCCGCTGCACTGGTGATGGTACGCATTTGTCAAGATTACCCCGGGTGAAAGAGATTTTGCTCGTTCAAACGAACACAGGCAATGTCTTTAGATCTGTAGCCAGTGCGCAACGACTAAGGCATAACCTTGTTATTATTACAGTCCAACTTAAAATAGGCGCATTCGCTTGTGCTAGAATGGAAAGTCTGGGTTAATAGAAGTATCAAATTAGAGCAAACGCGTTGCTTCATTAGTGCCTTGCCTTATTTTTCCTGCGTTTTTCTGGATTAGGCAGAACACGTGGCTCGCGCACTGTACGTTTTAACCCTAATTATATATATATGTATATATATATATGTATATATATATATATGTATATATATATATATATGTATATATATATATATGTATATATATATATATGTATATATATGTAATTGTTGAAATTGGTTCGCAATCGCTACTCTGAAGGCTTCGGAAGTTTTAAGATACGTCACTAGAAATAGGCTCGTAAAGAGTGAGCACGTTCTAGCAACTACCACGTATTTGCCGTCACAATTCGGTCTCTCCTGGAAACCAGTCTTCATTATCTCTCACCTACCTCGGCACATAGGCAAGGCCGAGAATAGTAGAGAATATGCTTATGTGTTAAGAACAGAAAATCGCCACGAAGGTTATTTAGCTGTTTCACGCATATGGGAGCTCCAATACAAAGATGTCGATCGCCTGCACCTTGAAACAGACAAAATCTGGGCACAAAATTTTGTTGTTTGTTTAAACAACATGTATGCATTTGTTTAACTTACATTCTATATAAAACTTACAAAGCAGCA